TCACAAGGCTGAGTAACCATGGGATGTAAGAATAATGCTTTTTATACAAAAAAAAAAAGCATTTTGAAGTTGAATGAATATACACAAACATACTATATATCTGTCTGTCTACCAATTACATAAAATTTGGAAATAATTGGTCATATTTTAGTGAACATTTTATTCATTTTGATTACTAAATTATAAGGTGTTGCTTTGAGAAAAGTTAAATCATAGGTTGGTATCTAGTTGTCCATAAAAATTAATCACCTCTAAAAATTGAGAATGATTGATTTCCTTCTCATTAAGATCAGGTCAATGGTTTCACGAAGCATAATTCTAGCTAGTCAGAAAACCAAACAAATTCTTTTTTGAAAATCAATTTGCATAGGTACCCCTGCGTTATGCATGGCCTGAATGATTTTCCCTAGAGGTAGAGTCTAAGATGAAGACAGAAGCCTGCAAGAGATGCTGAGAATATAAATCACTGAAGACTGCTTATAGAGTTATCTGGCAAAAATATGCTTGTCCTCAACAGTTAGTAATATTTTGAAAATATCTGTGATTTTTGCTACCAATTATGCTAATATAAACTACTCTTTTAATACTTCTGTTAAGATTAGGCATTCATATTTGTTCTAGACATCATTAGAGAAAGGTGTAATACCAAATGAACTGTGAGATGTTGATAACAAACATATTAGAAATTAGTATAAATATTATTCCAAAATGTAATCTTTACAAATATTGAGTTATGGAGAAATCACTTTTTTTTCAGGATATTAATAGAGTTTATTATCAGGATGCCTGACATAAATATTGCTGTGAATCTGTGCTATTGTTTCTATGATCTACTGTATTTTCCGGTGTATAAGACGACTTTTGAAATGAAAAAAGTCAACCAAAAATCAGGGGCAAAAGACCAAAATAGCACAAAAATTACCTGCAGATCTTGACGGCAAAGTAAGTCTTTTCTTTGAAGTGGGGGGTAGTCTTATATAGCGAATATAGGCCTAAACCTGTTTGAACTGTAAAATTAGGCGTCGTCTTATACGCCGGAAAATGTGGTATAAAATTCTTAAAAAGTTATTATGGATTAATGTGGATCATCTATTATGTTCATGTGATATAAATACATTTTACCTTAATAAGGCATAGCAAATGTTCTCCTAATTTAAGAATGCAACTAAAATTTAAAATTTGATTTACATTTACAGCATGAAGTAGGGAATTCTGATACAAAAATGTAGTTCAGCTAAAAAGTAGGTTTGGGATAAATAATAATAGTTTTCCTATTCTTCTCTTTGCTAGAATATATAAGTATATAAAGGTTCAGAAGTTTCTTTTTATAACCCTTTTTTTAAAACAATTTTTTAAATGAAGGTAGGGAGACTTCAGCCCAAACACATCAATGTACTAATGTTGCCATTAAATCATAGTGATACAGAGAATAGTATAATTACTGGAAACTACAAAACTGGGTCAACTTAATCCTTTGGTTGGATGACATGCTTTCATATTTTGGACAAACTAATCTTGGAATCCCAGCTGTTGGAAGCATCTGTTGTAGAAATGGAGAGGAAGACAAGCAGTATGTCATCTTTACCAGCTCAAAGATAAAGAATGCTATATTAGCCTATTTGCACAGATTGTCATAAAATCTCAATATTCCTTTGGAATTTAATTGTTTACCAACTTTTCAGGAAATCAACCTTCAAAGCACTTAATAATTAATAAGTGAAATTATGCAAATAACAGACTTTTTTGGTCAGTGATCATTTTAGTTTCAATCTCTTCCACACTGACTAAATAATTATTATCTAGGTTCATGTCACCAATTTTGCTAACAAAACGAATTGAAAAGAGGCAGGCTCACACTGATTTAGAATTATAAAGATTCAATCTCATGACCTCAAAAAGAAAGATTCTGCATGTGTCAGCAGAGTATTCAGAAGTTATTTACTAACATGCATTCACTTTCAAAATATTTATTGTAAGAAGCTCCATGCAGTTGCTCATGTTAGGCAACTGTTAAAACTGTGGTTTTAACAGAACAAGTAGATTTTTAAAAATGGAACTACTGTGATCATATGTCTAAACCTAATCCAATGTAAGTGATCAGAGAATACTTTCATATGATATCACAGAAGCCCAATTAAATTTATTTAAAACATTGAATTAATTCAGGAAGTAGACTAGACTTATAATCAGCGCTGAAACTTTTCTAATACCTAATTAGCTAGAAAAGTGGTACACAGACTGGTTTCCAGTTCATTTACTAGCACAATCTCCAAAGGCATTTTCAATTGGCTATATTTTCTTTGAATTTATAAAACTTTTCAAAGTTAGTTAAAGCTTTGGAAATAATGTTAAATGTCTTTAGCTTTGGTGAGACTTTTTTTCTGTTTCTTAAAAATAATTTTCATGCCTTGACAAAGTAATTTTTAAAATAGAAAGTAGTTAACAATAAAAATCTATCTAACAACCAAATTCTGTTATTGCTGATAAATAGAGTAGAATTATTTTGGAATTAGAGAGTTAGAAGTAACTTCTATGAATGGGAAATATTTCCCTTGTAATTATGGTAAATTTAGACCAAGTTTTACATACTTTCTAATAACAATGGGATCCAGAGATGAAGTCCTTATGAAAAGAGGAATTTGGAGACAGAGTAGCACCCCAGAAGAACATCATGAGGACTTGTAAATGACCACCTACCAGCCAAAGAGAAGGCCCGAAAAGTTCCTTTTTTTCACTTCCCTCTGAATAGCTGCTCAGTGACCCCAATCAACTGAATGGTTCACTGGACATCTGCTCACCTCACCGTATGTTTCCCACTCCTTCCATCTTTGCCTGTCATAAAAGGTTCTGAGTATCAAATGTGGAGTTGGAAGTAACATTAATGGAGCCCACCTTCTACCATCTGTCTCTCTCCAACCTTTATCATAAGCTTTGCCAGTATTTGTCAACATGTTTTTATCTACCACTAGACTGAGGACCTCTTACCTTCCAATCTGAAACAGCTACGATTTAGAAAGTCCCCAAAATTACGTAAAGAAAAGGAATTAAGGAGGGAGACAGAAGAGGGACATTTTCTGTGTAGCAGGAGGAAGGTGAGATATGAGGGAAGATTAGCATAACACAATGAGGTAAAAATTATAAAAACCAACAATCCTCCAAATTCTAAAATTCTCACTTTAGTTTACATACCATGTTTCCCCGAAAATAAGACATCCTCCGAAAATAAGACCTAACGCATGGAAAGATAAGACATCCCCTGAAAATAAGACCTAGCGCACCTTTGGGAGAAAAAATTAATATAAGACATTGTCTTATTTTTGGGGAAACAGGGTAAAATGGTTATTATTTATGAAAATCTTAAGTTCTTTTCTATATCTAACTCTTAAAATTCATAATATACATTTTTTTGATAGAGCAGTTCATAATATGCAGTTTTCTTTTTTATCACAAGAAATTGTACTGATCTTCATAATCAGATTATTTAAGTTAAATATCCTAAAAAAGAAAATATAGAAAAAATTCTACAGTCATCCAATGCCTCTCCAGGTAATGGAGCGCTATCACACAGGTAAATTGTTTATCTCATGACCATCCTAAGCAAAATAGATGTTTGCAGTTGAGAAAATCGAACTTCAGAGAGGTTAAGAGGGGTGAGTGCCTTGGAGCTCTCAATAAATTGAAGGAAAAGATGAGGTAAAAGGCAGAAATATTAGATTTGCTCTTTTGAAAATGCTTCCGTGAGAGGAATGCAATCTTAATCAGCAACAACAGATACTTATTCAGCATTTACCTCTTGGAACCAGCTCTGTTTTTCCTGTGATAGAAATTTTATCAGAAGAAAGAGCAGCCATCACTTCACAGCACTTGAGACAGCAATTTTTTTTGAGAGATCTGGGCCTTTCCAATAATTTACTCCCTGAACACTTTTACATTTAGGGTGGCAGGAATAGTAATTATTAACTGTTTAACATCTAATACAACTGGCATACTCTTTTCTTGGTTAAACATATGCTACAGTAAAGAGCTTCCTTCTGTGTGGGCATATAATTTGGATGGGTCTTAGAAAATTAATAGGTATTGATTTAAGAATAACACACTGGACTCCCTCACCCAGCACCTTCATGTGTCTCCTGTCTTATCTGCCCAACTAGTGTTCCCATACAGACTGGCTTTTATTGTTTACTTAGCTTTAACTTTTTTTTAAAAAAAAATAGTATGTTTTTATTGATTTTTTTTTGAGAGAGAGAGAGGGAGAGAGAGAGGTAGGAAGTTGGGGGCAAAGAGAAACATCCCTGCAAGAGAGAAAAATTGATAGACTGCCTCCTCTATATCCTCTACTGGGAATAAAGCCAAAAACCAGGGTATGTGCCCTGCCCAGGAACTGAACCAGCGACCTACTGGTGCATGATTCTCTACCAACTGAGCCACACTGGCCAGGGTATGTGACTACTTTTATCCTTCTGCTAATTTTTGAACACATAGAAGAACATCTTTTTAATCATAGAACCATGAGGAGAAAGATTTAAGAGATCTTTATGTCCACTGCTATTTAAATGCCAATACATCCTAACCTATATTTGGAACTAAAACACTGGTTACAACCAAATGAAAATACTTCTTGTACCTGAGTAGTGCATTATAGATAATTGCAGAGTCTTTTTCTAAAGCACAGTTGTAATGGTTTATATTATCTTGGCAATAAATAAGAAAAGGTATTATCAAATCTAGCAATTATGGCATCTTTGCTTTGATGACATATTCTTGGTTGTATAAATGTGATTTATTTGACATCAAATAGATTTTTATGTCAAATAAATGTGATAGAGGAATAAAACTTCCATTTATAATTTGCCCTGAAGTAAAAATGAGACTGATTCACCCACAATCTGTATTGTGACTGCTTTCTACCTTGTTTGGATAAAAAGCAGACATTCCTAATTATGCTGACTTAATTTCCTAGGACTGAACATTGGGAAGGAAGTAGTGTGCAAGAGACTTACCCACTCTTCCTCATCGTAGTCCGAATGATGGGGTATGGAGTCCTGCCTTCTCATTGGTGGGGGTAGGTCCTGGGGACTGCTCTCCTCTGTGCTGCTCTTGGGCGAGGGTGGCTTTTTAAGGATGCCTCCTGGCCTGGCAGTGTAAAGTGCTAAGAGAGCGCTTCTGACCAGCTGATCCTTAAAAGCATGAACAAAAAGCTCTGTCTGGAAAGAAATTGACAAGGATTAGAAATGCCATGGTAAGCATCTCAGCATAGAGCTAGGAAAAGGTCAATTGCAGACTTGTTGGCACTTGAGAGAAAATGATTCACACCAATCAATGGAACAGCGTTTGGTGTGGGGATGTTGCCAAGGCCTTGAGTCCTATGGCTCTAAAAGTCAATGTGGAGGTTCCGTGTGCGCTATAAACACCATCTGTCTCCTCAGCCCCTCACTCTTAGTTCCACATCCTATCTTCGGAGATGGATTTCACTAGGAATCATCATTCAAAAACCATCTACCTTTCAAGTAATTACAAATAGACCTTAAAGGAAAATGCCATCAGACTATGGATAGTCTACATTTTAAACAATGTTAACGGCTAAAGAAAGACATGTCTTTTAGAGGCAGGAGACTTGCTTTTTACAAATTTCAACGGTAGAGATGACATAAGCAGTTTTCTCATGAAAACATTTGGCTTTTTCCCTTATTATCACCCCCTACCTGTCTCCTCCACCAAATGGTTTCAGTAGTGCTTGATGTTAGCGAGGTTACTGTAAAGCCTCTGTTGGAGGATTTTGTAGGCTGATGGTAAATAACCTAGTGAGTACTGGAATAATGACAGCTTCCCAGCGATAAAGAGCTTCACAGCTGTACTTTTCAATTTCCCGATGAAATGTTTAACAGCTTCACCCCGTAATATACTGGAGGGGGCAGTGATTGATTTTCTGTGTCATAGTACACTTAGCATGCACATGGGCTCACAATCTGTTCAAAGAGTGGAGAAGTCACTCACGCACTGACCTATATTGTTATCATATTTATCTCTTAGGAAGGGTCCTTTAAGTCATAGCATTATTTTCAATAACAGTTGATATAATTGCCATTTAATGTGACTCTTGGCTACAATGCTGACTGCTGTAAGTCTACAATTGTAAGTCCGGGTACCTGTTTATTGGTGCTCTCTCAATGTACAGTCAATACTGCCATGTCCAACTGGTGGTTACTAAATTGTCTCTGTCTCCCTGTTGTGTCCATGCAAATAAAGAAAATCAGTTAAACCACGGGTAAAGCAGGGACCTAAAAAGATGATGTCATAGCTCTTCTTTGCAATAGATCATGAAATTCTAGAACTGAAACAGACTTTAAAGCGGACCTCTTCATTTACCAGATGAGGAAACCAGCAAACCAGTGTGGTGACCTGTCCAAGGCAGATTGCATATTAGCAGCACAAATGGGACAGATCCCGTGTTTTGACAAATCCTGTAGTTTTTCTTCTTTTTCCATACCACCTCCCAGCCACTGCTACTAGAAGTTTCTGTCTTTCCTCTTCTTCCCAACCTCAAACTTTCCAAGTGTATTGAACAGCTATCAGCCCTCAGAATTAATTGTCTACACAATTGGCCATGTAACTATCTTCACTGACAAACTTTATTGGATATTTTAAACACTCTTTTAATCTAGAGGCACTTTAAAGGGTATTAAACAAGAAATATGGGGAAAAGATTATATAAGAATAAAATATTGGAAAACACTTTTATATTATAATAAACTAGGAATCAAAATAAAAAGCACCTTTTTTATTTAAAAAACACTTGGAAAATATGACTTGACAGTATTCAAACAAGTCAGTATAGCTACAGCAAAATGGGGAAATATGTTGTTTACATAATATTTCATATAACATGAATGTGTCTATCAATGTTAATTTAAATATGAAAAATGTGAATTTACTTTCATTCAACTTAACTAGACTATTTCTCTGTTGGTAATTTCAATAAAGTCGTTTGATTTATTTTTAGAGCAAAGCAGCTTGCCTTCTTTAAATTCCTGCTACCACATCTCTAGTCCTATACCACTCACATAATTACCATGTAGCTAAATATCTATTTACATGCAATGAAATCTTGTATGATTCTTATCATTGCAATAATTTTCTTCCCATAGCATGCACACCCTTCATTTATTCAAATCTCATTTTAATTGATTTATCACCAAGTCATGGGAGATAATACAGTAGGTACTTATAATTTTACAACTCAGAAATTTTGGGTTGTAATAAAATATAATACACAAAATCTTAAGAGAACACAATAATAGCTGATCTTTTACTTTGTGTTTATACTGAAAAACGTATCTGACTCCTTGGAAACTCTCAAGATCCTGTATGTAGAATCACATTCTGTTAATAGAAAATACTCTATTCACATGACCTGGAAACAAATCATAATTTTCTTGAGCAGCATTACTTAGTACAGACCAATGTAGACCTTGATATTTTAAAGTCAAATAAGTAAGCTTATAGAGATTAATATAGTCCACAGAATTCCAAAACACCTGTATTTTGTTGTTCTTGCAACTGAGAGGATACTAGGGAAGCTAAAATTCATAGCTAGAATGTGACCATGTCTCTGAGTTGCTTCTTGCCTTGGAGTTCTGATAAGCTATTTTCTTTTCTGACTCAGCTCACCTTACATTAAGTTAAGAGAGAAAGGTTGTAGAAATGTTATCATCAAGATAGACAAGACAATGCACTTAAAGTATCAGTTCAATAATATACTAAAAAAGCATAAACTTAAGTAAAGGCAACCCATTTCATTTGTTTGATATTTTAAAAAGAGAAATATTATCTGAAAAATGAGATGTTTTTCTGCCTTACTGACATTTCTCCAATTCATATTCTCATATATATTTTCAAAGTAACTTGAAATATCAGCAAGTATAAAAGTACTAAAAATTAGTTCTCCTGGGAATAAATTTCCTGACCATCAACGGCAGAGAAATTGTTAGGATATGTTCATTTAAAGTGACTCTTTTTAACTAGAAATCTCAACAAATTAATCAAAGTCCCCTTCTATTTAGAATGACCTTATTGTCACTGAAAAAAAATTCAAAGCTGTCTAATTCTACCTGCAATAGGGAATTAGTCAATGGAATAAACAAGTGACTATCATTTTAGTTGTAATATAAATGGCAAGAAAGAATCCTGTTTATTTTTAAACTTGATACGCTTTAATTATTTTGCAGGGCATTGGAAAATGGGCAGTATAGAGACATAAACTGTATGACTTTTCTAACTAAATAGCTTACTTTCAGAGACAGTTTCCAGGCTATGGCACAAGGAGGAAGAAGCCACAAACTGAGAAAACAGAGATCAGAGCTTGGAAAAGCCAAAGTGGTTAGTTAGAATTCACAGAAAAGAGTGCCAGACAGGAGGGAACTACACACTGAAAGAGCCCTGATGATCTGTAAATGGGTGCTTTTCCATCTTTTCCTGAGTAGTACTGATCTGCATGTGCTAGAGGACCAGGGGGCATAAGGGCTGGGAAGAGCTCATCTTCCCACCATCAGAGCGGGCTTTGTAATACAGAGGGCCTTGTGTAGAGCCCTCGGGAGGGTGCGGCCCTAGTGGTGGGGCTAAATTACTCCCAGGTTAAAGGCTGCTCTGGCTCCTGCTCTAACAGAGCTTAAAAAGAAGGCTTGAAAGGATCTTACTGGTTGCTAATAACTTCACACCAGCACAAAATCCAACATTATTTAAAGGAATGCAATAAAATCCAGCAACCAAGAATGTAAAATACAAAATTCCTGTTATTCAATTCAATATACCAAGCATATAATGAAGCAGAAAATTTCGACCCCTAATTAGAAAAAAACACACAGAGGTAGCTGATTTTATCTTCCTCCCAACTGCCTGTTTCCTTGCTGATGTTGAAACTACTGACCCACATGGGCAGCTGATCAAGGTTTGACTGCTCAACAACCTTCCTAGAGTGGCAGAAATAAGTAGTCTGCCATCTTGCCCCACAGTACAGGCATTGCAGGAAAAAGGAGTCACCCAGAAATGGAAAGTTCTGCAAACTTGCTTTAAAAACAAACAAACAAACAAACAAACAAAAACAATAACAAAAAAAACCTTTTTGCTCAAACTTGCAAAAGTGTCCATTAAGTCATTAGTAGCAAATTTAATTAATTAATTAAAAAATAGAGGACCAGTCTTGGGGCATGGAATCTGAACCACCAGCAGCATGGCTAGATAGAAATGAATCATACTTTATTTTAAATCATAAGTTACAAATTGTCTTCATAGACCACGCAAAACTCTGTTAACTTGGATAAATATTTGAACTTCCAGCGATACATTCTTAAAATGAAAATGCATGGATTGAAAACCTAAAAAGATTCTTCTGGTTTCAAGGGCTGACAGATTTATTAGTAGACGAAGCGTATCTACTCAATAAAAATGTGTATATATATATATATATACACATTTTTATTGAGTATATATATATATATATATATGATTCAATATATATATATATATTCAATATATTCAACTTTTTCATATATATATATATATATATATATGAAAAAGTTGGAGCGGTGCTGAATTGAAGGAGGTGAAAATACATGCCATGTCCCCCCACCCAAATCACTGCAGCAAGTTGCAAATGATGTATGCAATGACAAGGCCCTGCTTAAGGCACAGGAAGAACATAAATCCTGCTCAGTGATCACTGAAGCGATGTGCTACCTACTGACATTTCTGCTTAGGTGAATCCAAAAAGCCTCACCTCCACCCAGAAATTCCAAAAGGAACTGGACCAAAATGAAATTATATTATTTTACTGTGTATAACACTTTCTTCTTCCCCCTTCTCTTTTCCCTGGCCTTGATATATTTATTGATGATTAGATATATTTATTGACTATCTGAATACTTAAGCATTGCTGACGAATTTGTCTAAAATTTTCTTTGTAAATTTAAAAATGTGAAAGTCAAAATGCATATATTACATAGAGGATACTGGAAAGTTTCCTCTCTCCTTGGTTTTCCCCCCCCTTGTGCTATCACCTCTGGAAGTGAGCTAGACAATCAGTATGTGCCCACCACTTCAAAATAAAGTAAATTAATACCAGTCACGAAGCCCTTAGCACAAGATTTGGCGAAATCGGTACTTATAAAATTTGGGTCAGCTTTTCTCTCCTTGGTCATGATGGAGGCACCTGATATGACATAGAAGGAATGCTGCATTTCAAACTGGAAGTCTTGGACTTTGATTTTTTTCCTTTTTAATTAATTGGATAATACACTTGACCTTTCTGAACAGGTAGTAGGTATTTTTTTATAAAAATAGATATTACTTATATCCTATGAGAATATTATAATAATACACTCTTTAAAATATTAAATAAGTAAAAGGTATTATTATTATAAATTAGCATATCTGAATAAAAATATATACCTATCATATCTAGGTTTCTATAATCTGTACTATAGGGATGCAAAAAACTACACTGTTATTTTATTCTAAAACTAGAGGCCCAGTGCATGGATTCATGCACATTGAAAGGAAATTAATTAGAAGAAAATTTTAGCCAAAACCGGTTTCTCTCAGTGGATGGAGCGTCGGCCTGCTGACTGAAAGGTCCCAGGTTCGATTCTGGTCAAGGGCATGTACCTTGGTTGCAGGCATATTCCCAGTAGATGGTGTGCAAGAGGCAGCTGATTGATGATTCTCTCTCATCGATGTTTCTGACTCTCTATCCCTCTCTCTTCCTCTCTGTAAAAAATCAATAATATATATATATATATATAAAAAAAAAAAAGAAGAAGACATATTTTAGAGGCCAGGGAGGAACATGAGAGATTGGTCAGCTGGTCAATTGGACAGGAGGGCTCCAGGGCATGTCCAGTCATGATTGGACAGACCCCAGAGCAAGCTAAACTACCAACTGGAGCATCTGCCCCCTGGTGGTCAGTGTGCATCATAGTAACTGGTCAAATGATTGAACAAATGATGGGACATTTAGCATATTAGGCTTTTATTATATAGGATAGATAACACCATGAGAATTTTCTTTGGTCAGTTTCTTCAAGGACATATTTACTGAAAGGATCTCATAATAAATTGCAAGGTGTCCTCAGAATGCAGAGGTTAAGGATAATTGTATTGGAATTGGACATCAGGATACCTCATTTTATATTTAAAATCAAACCACAATTTGTCGTTTTATGTCGTTCGGTTGCCCTGATTAGTTATGGAATTGATGTAATATTTATCTTTGCCAGGCTACCTGTCCTCTATGCATATAATGTGTAAGTCACCCTTAGAAAAATTAAGGCTTAGGTCCCACTAACATTTCAAACAATAACTAATATCTTTGAAAAATTTTAGAACCTTTTCCCAGGAGATAATGTTAAAAATGAAACAGGCAGAGAAATTACCCCCTGTCACTGATAACACATCCTAGTCCTGTTTTCAAATGAATTCCCATTTAAATGTGTTGCTTCATATGCATATAATTTAGGTGATCACCAGAGGAAAATAATTTTCAAAATCTAATTTAATTCATTTGAGAAGGCCATGAACCAAAGAAAATGAAGGATGTCAAGGAAAATTAAAAAATATATACCAACCAATAACAGGTTTTCTTACCAGGAAAAAAAAATCAGTGCTCAGTAAGTTTTGAAAAGAGAATGAGGCCAATTCAGTTTGATCCTGTGGCAATACTTTGAAGCTTACTTTTTAACTTAGTCTATTTTACATTTCCAGTTGCTAGGAAAGGCAAATGTATGCAATAAAGCAACACCCATGTGGATTGGGGTATTTCATTTTCCCCACTGTAGGAATGATTTGGATCTTACTTTTTCTGAAAGCATCTTTAAAGAATTCTTCAAGCTGTCTGAAGAATGCTGGCTTGCAGAATCAAGCAGTAGGTCAGCATGGGTTGCTATCAGAGGTTGTAGTTGATTGATGTTGCTGAGAACTTCCTTTGCTTTGGCTGTGTTTTCAGGTGAATAGTAAATATACTGGTAACCAGTACTACAACAACAAAGAGAAAGACAAGTTATACACAAAGCAGAAAGAATTTGCAGCCCTTAATATCATATGGGAAATCATAAACATAGTCCATATGTCATTACTTCCTATTGAACAGATAAGAACTCTTCCAAGAGATTTTTACAGTGCCCTAAGAAGAGTTGTTTTTTTAAAAAGTAAAATGAATAAGATATTTTTTAAGACTAGGTACAATAAATCTTGTTCTTACTCACCTACTAGGAACATTCTTTATGTTTACACATATCAAATATTAACAATCAAAATAAGTTAGAATTAGTATTAATTATTAATAAATTTGAGGTCACACAGAACAGAGGAAAAAGACTGAATATAAATCCCAGCTCTGGTACTTACTAGCCGGTGACCTTGAGCAGCCTTCTGCTCCCTCATGAGGTAGGTGGACATAATTATCCAAACAATTACTTATAAGAGGTGGGTTGGGTTGGTGGTCATTCATGGGAAGTGCCTAACAGAGAGCTTGACACAGAGCAAGCAGCCAGAAACTACTACCTATATCTTCCCCTATGATACTTGGGACAAAGGGAGTACATTTTAATAGCTGAGAAAAGAATTTAATGCCAAGTGGGCATATGAAGAATTCTATTGTAGAGAAAAAAGGCATTTCCAGCAAAATAAAAAATACATTATGCTATTTTACCATCACCCTTTAAGTTCCTGTGGTTTTTCATTTGTTATAAAAAAAAAATCTAAAATTGATCTCTGCCTTTTAAAACCATCATCTAGTAATTGGTCAAGGAGGTTATGTGATGGGGTTGGAATTCCATGGTGGGAAGAAATCTATGGCCAGTTTCATTAGGAAAGATAAAGGAGGCATTCCCGCAGGGAAAGGAAGAAAATAGCAAAGCACTAGGCAAAGGGGAAAAAAGAGAGAAGTCATGGTTGTTGCATTCACATGGTTGGTGCAAAGCATGCCTACATCCCTTTGTGTCCAACTGTCAAAGCACTTTTCACAATACCTTGCTACTATGTTGGGTACTTATTGAATATTTTCTCTATATTTACCAGTTACATTATTAAAATTCTCATCATGCCATTTCTTATTTTGAAATATTAGAACCCAATAAGAAAAATTTACATCTAGGATTCATTCTCCCCTTCCCTTTAAACACTAATGATTTTCAGGAGAAAGTATCCATTTCTTCAGGGAAATAATATTCCTTTGTAAACATATAATGACTATCATGCTATTTATTTAATTTTTTCTTGCATGCTAATGAAAAGGAATGTCGTTGCTTGCTTGGACTATTCTTATGACAGGACAAGAAGTCAATGAAGGGCATAGGTTTATGAAGAAAACACTTTGCTAATCTGTGACACTTAGGAGAATTTTCTCTCAATTTGGCATATGACTTGAAATTTCAGAAGCATAGCTTAAAAAATGAAATAGACCTTACCTACTTAACATGTACAGTAGCCCTGCGGCGAATCCATGCACTATGGTAGTAGCTCTCTGCCACCTTCCCATAGCTCTCTGCCCGATGCCCCACCCTCTTATAGTTCCTCCCACCCCTCTTCTCCATTCCCCCCTTTTAGCTTGCTGTCTGCCCCTTCCTGTAGCTCTCCACCACCCACTTGTAGTTCACTGCCCCACTGTCCTGCAGATCCGTGATCTGGTCATTACAAGGTCGTAGAGTAATGGATAATTAGCATATTCCTCTCTTCTTATATAGGATATTTTAATGCCAATTAAAGCCCTTGACAAATAACAATGGTGAGGAAGAGAATGGAAACTATGTCCCTGCAATTATTTATGTTTCTTTCTGGCTCTCCCAATCTTAGGCAGCACTAAGGCCCTTAACAAAAATTATCTGTACTCAGATTTGGTACAAAGTTCAACCCACCATGCTCTTGTAAATCAAACAACCAGGTGCTATTTTTGTAAAAATAATGATGATATAAACATATTGATGGGACACTGGGGTGGGGATGATGTTCGATGCCCAGCAGAGTCAAGACTTCCTACCCACCCGACACAGAAGGCTGTTTGTAGTGGCTGCTCCATGATCCCTTGCCACTGGTCTGCTCCTCTGGCTTTACCCTTTACTCTGGTGTCATCTTATGGGTACTTACAGGCCTCCAGCGGTGTAGCTCTTGCTTGGAAAGCTAGCCTTCTCAAGGTCGAGTGTGCTCTTTCATTTTCCTCTTAACATAACTGTCCTCTAGTTGAGGTTGTCATTCCTCGCCTCTCATACAGCCACTCCTGTACATTTTTTTTTCTATGTATTTCTTACTCTGCAAACTCCCTTAGTGTTTCCTCTCCATTTGAATGGAGCATGTACATTTTCAAGATTTATTTCTCAAGTGTTCATTTCATCTATTCTAGTTCAGCTGTGCTCAAATTTTAGCAGACATAAGATTGACTTGGGGCTGAGGACAGGATCTGGGTGTTTTGCTTTTATTAAGTACAGATTTCCTGGCAATGCCAGGAGGTTCTGCCTAGTAGGTTGTAACATTTGTAACAAAGGGAAATCCCCATGCAGGTGGAGAGGAGAGCACTGGCAGGAACACCTGCTGTCATTGTTTTGACCTGTATCCCCTCTGAACCCTTGATCTTCTAGACAATAATTCTGATAAAAGTTCAGTAACCTTGCCCTAAATTCCTTATCCCGAACTAATTTTAATTTTCATAAACCTTTTACAAAGCTACTTTTGTACTCCATTTTTACATTTAGCATAAGATGCTTTGGTTCCTTTCCCATTACCAACGTTGCCTTCCCTAACTTTTTGCACCAGTCCTTCCTCTTGTCCCTCCTAATATACCTCCCACCCTCTTCCTTTCCTCCCCTCCAATACATTCTTCAGTCCCTGTCCTGGGACATCAGCATAACCCTGCCTTACTCCTAAGTTGGTCTGTTGAAGCAGAGTTAGGCAGCAGGCATTGCTTCTCCCACTTTGGTCCCATAACAATGAGCACCTTACCTAGTGAGGCTGAAAGATTCATTTCCCACAGTAAAAGCCAATGTTGGTGTCTGGGGTGAAATAGTATGGCATGGAAAAAAATATTGCCGCCACAAAATAAGTTTAAGTAGATATAAATTTCATCTACCTATTCAGTGCCTTATTCTTATACATGTCATATATTTTCACAGTTATAGCTTCTTAAATGGAAAGTTATGAGTACAATTTAATTATTGAGATAAAAAGAATATAGCAAAACTCTGTTTTATAGTTGTCTGAAATTTAAACTGAATCCAAACACTTGAATTAAGTACCAATCAGACAAAACCAGCAAAAGTGCAATATATCTGCTTGGACAAAAAATATTTTATAGGGTGTAAATACTATAGCAAATCATGGACCATGAAAATTGAAATGGGCTTCATAATAGTTTTTCACTGGTAAAACAATTAGAATGTATATATGTGAATATATACATTTTAGTTTCTATTTATTTAAATTCTTTAATATCATTTAATTAGAACACACACATATTCACATGTAGGTGTGTGCATGTTGTTTATGGGGGGTGTTATATTTTGTAGATATAAAGAAAAATAAAGCAGGCAGTGAGTTAATATTCATATTGGTATACTCTAATCAGTACCACAATACAATCTGGATAAGGACTGTATATCATGAGCGAACATCCCACTTGGGTTGCTTTTCCTGGTCCTCCTGCATCCCCATCCTCTAGAGTTGACTAGCTTCAGGGTTCAGTCCTTGGAACTCCTGCTTTTTAAAAAAAAAAATCTACATGTCCCTCCTAAATAATCTCATTTAATCCGTTGGTTTAAATACCTGAGTTGTGCTAATGACCCCCAAAATCACATGTCTAAACCAAACCTATTTTCTTGAACTCCAATGACAAACAAAATCGCTGGTTCCCTAGTGGCCACTAGTCGGGAGGCGGTGTGCTAGAGGAGAGGCCAGGTGAGTCACCAACGTGGTGTACCTTATCCCGCATTTGCACAAGGTGGATGAGACCATCCTTTCAGAAGACCTAGCTGTTGACATTTGGTTCAGGCACGATTGGGACACAAGTGAAAGTGGATGTGGTTCTGGACAGCACAGCAAAGGAGCTTAAACATTTGGCAGTTATTCATCTTGTGGAAACTACATTAGTACCTGACTTCAACAAAATATGAGTTATACGATCCATGGACTATCTTATTTTTCTTTAGTGAAAGCACATCAGGATAGGCCTGGGTACTGGCAACAACCAGATCAACCTGGCCAAGGAAGACAAGCAGGAGATGATTGACTTCTTAGAGGTTGTGTACCGGAAAGGCTGGCCTGGTCGTGTCCCTGAAGGACTGACTTCTCCACAAAGTACAGATACTGAATGCTTGTCCCAGGTTTGCTGTGCTGTGCTGTGGACTCATGTTCACTTCCCCTTTGAGGAAGTGTTTGTAGTCAGCCTGGCACTGTACTTTAATATTTTCAAATATTGGTAAGTCTCTAGCTGAAATAAACAAATACATGATAATGGGAACAGTCAAAAAATCAAACTAACAAACTGAAGCTCTCTTCTTGACACCTCCAACTCCCAATGTCCCCAGCTGGGCTTCTCAGATCTCCATTCTTAACCCCCAGCTCCTCCCAATCCCCATCCTCCCAAACTAATAGCTTCCAGCAAGTCCATCTGCTATGGTCTATGTCTCTTCTCTTTCTCTCCTACCATTTCTCCTTTTTTTTTTTTTTTTTTTTTTTTTTAAGAAAATTCTGCCTTTTCCTTCGAAATTCATGCAGAACCCAACCACTTATTTTCACATTCACTACAACCACCCTGGTGCAAGCTACCATCACCTTCTATCCTCAGATCATTGTGATAGCCTTGAAACTTGTGTCCTTACACTAAGACATGAAAATTCTTGACTTATGCTTAGATTTGAAGGAGGCCGGAGCAGACAAGGAGAGAGAAATAAAGCAATTCTTCCTTAGTTCCCTGCCCACACCCCAAATTCTGGGAATCGTTCTGCCACTTATCTTTCCACCCCTACGGGCACTGCTCCCTCCACTCC